CAAAGGCAGGTGCCTAACGACTGAGCCGCCCAGTACCCATAGCCTCATATTTATTAATAGAAGTGATTTCCATGTGTCTCATTGTATTATAGCATCAGAGGAGTGCCCGTGATTTCCTAGACATTTCTCCCCTCGTAGCTATAAGTCATAACAGGTTTTAATAATGTGCTTTTGCCCATAATTTCCACTTCCTACTCAGAAGGCTTTCTTTTCTTCAATGACATGTTCACCTACCAGATTCACATCCTCCTTTTTGCTTTCACACATATGAAGGTATCAGGAGACAATTATAGTTATCTGGAGTGAATGTATGATCATTAACTATTAACTTATTAATTATTGTCCTTTGGATGTTATACCATATGGGGGGGTGACAGGTTACTCTCCTTGAAGGGTCCTTTTGCAACAGGAAAAATCCTGCTCATTTCACAGTCTATATCCGTGGTATGATGGACAGAGATGAGAATATTTTTAAAATAAGAAAAAGCACCTATCTGATATTTTACGGGGTATTTGATATTGAATTTGTTTTGAATTATAAAGAGAACAATGGCCACTGGAAGACATGCCAAAGAATTTAGGTCAAAGATCACCTGTCTAACAGTTTGTGATTCACAGAGTTTCTAGTGATTAGCCAAGAAGCCACTAGGTTCCAGGAGCCCCGGAGTGGGTATCTAATGAACCCAATACAGAGAGCTGGTCCCACCCATGGGTAGGACTCAATTCTGGTTTCTTTTATATTCTGTGTTCTCACAGGGGATAATTGGAATGGAATATTGTATAATTTGTGGTGTTCTACAGAATCACAGGATGAAATGAACCGAAAGAGAAGAATTGCTCTAAGGCATGTTTCTAAAATCCCTACTTACAATATCCACTGACATTGGTCAGCTGAGCAAATTATTTGGCTCTTGAATTCTTACACACATAATGTGATTTGACATTTTGTGTGTAATTTGCACGGAACAATTTGACATTGCCTAAAATACGTGGTGCTTTTTAAAAACTATTATATTCAGATGCCATATCTCATCTATGGGGTAAGTCCGTGGAGGGGAGAATCCCGACTTCCCGAATTCAGTGGCACCGGTGCGAATGACCTAAAGTTACCAGTGGTTCTGTGAGAGGTGCTGACGTTGAGGGTGGCAGTTATGTTAGTTGGGACCGTTTGGGCGGCAGGTGGCAGTAACCTGCCTCAGCAGCGTAGGCAACAAAGGAAATGGTTGGCTCCCATAACCTGCAAGGTCAAGGGGGAAGGCTTGACTTCAGGAGTTGCTAGGTCCAGGTTTTTTGAGAAGACATCATGGTCATGCTGTCTCCATGCTCCACATTGCCTGCCATCTCTCTCCTCTCCGTTTGCTTGCTTCTCAGATTTTCCACGAGCATATAAGTGGGTTACTAGCGCCTAAAAATCCCAAAGAACAGAGAGTTCCCCTCTCTCTTTCCCGAATCCGGATCGGCTCCCCTCCTTAACTTACCACTGCTGCAGGCCCACTGCTGAGGCAGAGGAGTCAGGGACCATGTGCTGGATGCCCTTCCAGAAACACGTACTATGGAGGACAGGGCATTTCCAAAAGGATGGCTGAAGGAAAGACAAAGAGCAGACACCCACTGTCTGACATTGACAAGAAGAACAAAGAGGAGGAGAGAGATATATCATCAACACAAACATAAAGCACTGGGATTACTGGCCATTACAGTTATTTTTAAGAAAATCGGCAAGGCAGGAGCTGTGAAAGTTAGTCACCAGAACATGATCAGCATCACGGGACAGGATGGCAGAGACTTAGAAGGTGTTTTAAGAATTTTAGGGCGCCTGGCTGGCTCAGTGGGTTAAGCCTCTGCCTTTGGCTCAGGTCATGATCTCAGGGTCCTGAGATCGAGCCCCACATCAGGCTCCCTGCTTGGCAGGGAGCCTGCTTCCCCCCCTCTCTCTCTGCCTGCCTCTCTGCCTACTTATGATCTCTCTCTGTCAAATAAATAAATAAAATCTTTTTTAAAAATTTAAAATTAAAAAAAAAAGAATTTTAAAAGGTGCTGTGGGAGGTCATGTGAGATTCAGAGCACACCCCAGGGGCCGGAGTGGGGAGTGGGGAGCAGGGAGCAGGAGGGAGGGAGGGAGGAATGTAGTATGGGTCGCAGTCCAAACCAAGCATGGACAAGAAACTTAGCCACTATGTCTAGGAAGCTTTGGAGCTTTGGAGTGAAAGACATTGGGAGAGAAAGCTGTCCAGAAGGTGTGTAGAAGATCAGCAGGGCTATGGGGCAGAGAGAGAAATGCAGGACTAAGGGTGGTCATAGGAAGGAGAAAGTAATACTCGTGGGCACATGTTAGGGAGGACACCTCGCCTCCCCAGGAGGAAGTGGCTGTTAAACTCAAGGACAGGACTTCGAGCTGAGGTGTCTGGTTTCAGACGGGTCTGTTCTCCTCTATTTGTGTGGCTGTAGGTGTGACGGGGAAGATGGGCAGACACCCTATAGGAACTGTGGGAACCTGGGAAGCAGGTGGAGGCAGAGAGCAGATAGATACCTTGCATTTGCATCTGGGAAGAAACCCTCAATGCAATCCAGTACGCCAACAGCATGTAGCATTTCCCAAATACGGACAGTCCTCGGTGGGAGTGAGCTAGAGGTAACGGTGAGCTGACTGCCCCAACAAAACCCTCAGGAGTGAAAAGCAGTAAGGAAGAAAACCCCATCCAACACCCATAACTGGAAATCGGTGCCTTGTGGGGAATTTCATCTCTGGATTATACGGGTGTTCTTTTCTGTAACAGAACAATATGTTAGAATATTTAGACTATTTTTTTTGCTATTTTCAAATAGTGCTGAAGTAAATATATATAAGTGTATATATGTATGTAAGTGTATATAAAATTATATGTGCGTGTTGTGTATGTCCAACCACTTAGGTATTTTATGTGTAGGTATACACACACCCACAATACATATGTACCTCACATACACACATCAGCTCCTGGGATCTGGGAATTTGTGCATTATTTGACAGATGCTGCTAAAACACCTGTCACATTGTCAACCAATTCACACTGTAGCCACGACCACGAAATTCTGTCCTTCACACTTGTCCATGCTGCCTGCCTCCAATCATTTATATTTTGCTCATCTTTTAGGTGACAGATGGCATCTCATCTAATTTTTAAATGCAGATTAATTCTACTTTAAGGAGGCAGATAACACATTTTAGCCAGTTGGGACAGGCTAGCTGTATGCGGCAGCTGGACAGACCGGTGGAGAGTTAGAGAAGCATCACAGTGCGACGCAGAGTGGGAGGGCTCGAGATGATCTGGGTGAGAATCTCTCCCCCCTCCTCCCTCATGCATCAGCTTGATCTCTGGACATATTACTTAACTCTCTGTGTCTCCATTTCTCATAAAATGTGATTATTTTAAGGATTCAATGAGATAAAGCATATGGCGATTTGCACAATGTCTGGCATGTAGGAAGTGTCCGATCTATATTCTCTTTGGATCATTTATTATTGCACTGTGTTGGGATTTGGGCATCCTGAAAGCCAGAGCAAAGTGAGTTCATTGTTCAAGAAGAAGAAGAGTAAAGTAACAATAGACGCGACGCTTCTGTCACACATAGCTCTGTGTCAGGCTCCGTACTAAGCTCTGCACATACATTAAAACATTTCAGTGACCACCGAAGTCTCTTTGACCACTTACTATTGAATTCTAGGTTAAAGTTCTCAACAGTTTATTCCACTAAGCAGAATGTTTCATTCTTATTTGTCTATGAGGCACGTGGTTCACCAAAACAGTTAAGTCACCCCCAGGAAGTGGCTGACCTTCCTTTAGGACTGCAAAGCTCTCCTGCCACGCGCTGAGGCCGCTCCAGAAGGCGGCGTGTGAATCTGGCGGCTCTCTGTGGAGAGACTTGATGTGGGGCTCTTGCCAGGGGATATGTGTCCCTGTTCTATGTGACAGTTCACAGTTGAACCCTGTTTAGATCAAGAGCCTAAACACAACACAAGTGCTCCCGAGAGTATTGTGCTGGGATTATCAACGCTGAATTCACAGGATGACACTTGTTGAGGAGTGATTTTGGGTCAAGTGCACCGTGGCTGCTGATGTGAGCAATCTAAGGGGAGGAGGCGGGTCCCACCCAGAGCTTTCCAAGACAGCCTGGGGGTCTTCCTGGTGATGCTCTCACTGGAGCATCTCACTTATTTATGTATTTTGGTTAACAAGCGTTTGAAGGAACTAGCTGCAGTTCTGCAAGCCTTTGTACACAAACGTGTGCGTGTGGGTGCTAAAACACTTTCTCGTCGCCGAAGGGAAACTGTCCAAATACTGGAAATATCCAAAACTTGGTTTGGTCAGTGCAGAATATTCTGGCAAAGCTACTGCATATTATCAAGCAGATAAGAGCTGCCTTGTATACTGTTATCAACCGTTACCCAGAACCGACACGCTGCTTCTCTAGCCACGTCTTGAGGTGACACAGTGTGTAGCGATTCACACCCCTTTCCTCCCTTGTTCCGGGATGAGGCTGCTCATGCCCGGGGAGGCTTAAACGCTTGCCGACTCCCTAACACTGCGTCCGCCTCCAGCCTGGGAGAGGCCCAGGTCCGGCTGGATTAAATGCAGGTGAATAAGACCAGTGTATCTCATAAGCAGCACAGACACATCTCCTCTTTCCCCCTTTCTCTTTAAAATAAGAGAAGGAAGATTTTGTTGGGGGAGCGCATGATGTGGAAGTGTAGGTGGTATAGCTGAGAAATAGGGAGAGTGTGGACAGAAAGAACAAGGCACAAGCAAGTGCATGTCACCTACTAACTGTGCTCAGATCGGTCTTCCCTAGCTCCAGGCCTCTCACCTTTAAAGTAAGAGAAAGAGCTGGATGTTTCTGGCCTGAGAGTAAGCCTCATGTCAGAGGTCTCCTCTGGGTTTTAAAAGTTGTGCAGTCCAAAGAACCAATCCGAAGAAGGCAGACATTCTCCTAATGGCGCCTCTTCTCTCTTCTCTCCCCAGACTATGTCCGAGAATCACAATGAGCTGGCACACTAACAGTACAACCTCGCCTTTGTTTCCAAACATCAGCTCGTCCTGGGTGCATAGCCCCTCAGATGCTGGGCTGCCCCCAGGCACGGCCACTCACCTTGGCAGCTACAACATCTCTCGGGCGGCCGGGAATTTCTCCTCTGCCAATGACACCACCAGCGACCCGCTGGGAGGCCACACCATCTGGCAGGTGGTCTTCATCGCCTTCTTAACGGGAGTCCTGGCCTTGGTGACCATCATTGGCAACATCCTGGTGATCGTGGCCTTCAAGGTCAACAAGCAGCTGAAGACGGTCAATAACTACTTCCTCTTAAGTCTGGCCTGTGCCGATCTGATTATTGGGGTCATTTCCATGAACCTGTTTACCACCTACATCATCATGAATCGGTGGGCTTTAGGAAACTTGGCCTGCGACCTCTGGCTCTCCATTGACTATGTGGCCAGCAATGCCTCGGTCATGAACCTTCTGGTCATTAGCTTTGACAGGTACTTCTCCATCACGCGGCCGCTCACGTACCGAGCCAAACGAACGACAAAACGAGCTGGCGTGATGATCGGTCTGGCATGGGTCATCTCCTTCGTCCTCTGGGCCCCGGCCATCCTGTTCTGGCAGTACTTTGTCGGGAAGAGGACAGTGCCGCCCGGTGAGTGTTTCATCCAGTTCCTCAGCGAGCCCACTATCACGTTCGGGACGGCCATCGCTGCCTTCTACATGCCTGTCACCATCATGACTATTTTATACTGGAGGATCTATAAGGAGACTGAGAAACGTACCAAAGAGCTCGCCGGGCTGCAGGCCTCGGGGACAGACGCAGAGGCCGAGAACTTTGTCCACCCCACGGGCAGCTCTCGGAGCTGCAGCAGCTATGAGCTGCAGCAGCAGAGCCTGAAACGCTCGTCCCGGAGGAAGTACGGCGGCTGCCACTTCTGGTTCGCCACTAAGAGCTGGAAACCCAGCGCCGAGCAGATGGACCCCGACCACAGCAGCAGCGACAGCTGGAATAACAACGATGCAGCCGCCTCCCTGGAGAACTCGGCCTCTTCCGACGAGGAGGACATCGGCTCCGAGACCCGCGCCATCTACTCCATCGTGCTCAAGCTGCCCGGGCACAGCACCATCCTCAACTCCACCAAGCTACCCTCCTCGGACAACCTGCAGGTGCCCGACGAGGCGCTGGGGGCTGCCGACCCGCAGAGGAAAGCTGGCAAGCTGCAGGCCCAGAAGAGCATGGACGACGGCGCCGGCTTCCAGAAAAGCTTCTCCAAGCTCCCCATCCAGCTAGAGTCCGCCGTGGACACAGCCAAGGCGTCGGAGGCCAACTCCTCAGTGGGCAAGACCACGGCCACTCTACCTCTGTCCTTCAAGGAGGCCACTCTGGCCAAGAGGTTTGCTCTGAAGACCCGAAGCCAGATCACCAAGCGGAAGCGGATGTCGCTCATCAAGGAGAAGAAGGCGGCGCAGACGCTCAGTGCCATCTTGCTGGCCTTCATCATCACCTGGACCCCGTACAACATCATGGTTCTGGTGAACACCTTTTGTGACAGCTGCATACCCAAAACCTATTGGAATCTGGGCTACTGGCTGTGCTACATCAACAGCACCGTGAACCCCGTGTGCTATGCGCTGTGTAACAAAACATTCCGAACCACTTTCAAGATGCTGCTGCTCTGCCAGTGTGACCGGCGGCGGCGGCGGAAGCAGCAGTACCAGCAGAGACAGTCCGTCATCTTCCACAAGCGCGTGCCCGAGCAGGCCTTGTAGGGGGGGCTCGGCCCAGCGCAGCGGCCACATGCACGCATCCACCTGCAGACCTCCGGGGGGCGCCGGCCGGCAGTGGGGTGATTGCCGGGGTGATCAAAAGGGGTTTGTCTTTTTATCACCCAGATATGAAGGAAGCTGCCTGTTTACTGACCCAGTGAATAAACCCATTTTAATATAGAAAGACACCAAGTCAGCAAAAAAAAAAAAAAAAAACAAAAAAAAAATATTCCTAAATATAAAGAAATTTATTCTGAAATAGACTTTGTTTTTTTCCCTCAAAGAGGGGGGAAAAAATGTTTCATAGCAATTCCACACCCAAATCGGTCTGCTGGGTTCTCTGAATCCCCGTTAGCACGGGAAATCTTAGCTGACCATCACTAGCTGAGCCCGCGGCCATGTTCCTTCCGAGGAGCCCACGCGGGGCGATCCAGGTCCCACAGGGAACACGTCAGGCTAGTGAATCGGTGGTTCAGAAATTCTTCATACGTTGCAAAGCTGAACCTTCTTGTCCCAATAGAGCTTCCCCGTCTTCTTTGGTGTATTGTTCAACTCTATTTGTGGACTTGATTCTTGCAAAGTACTGTTTCGTGCATTTCCAGTTTCGTACCAATAAAAATATACAAGTATATATATGTGTGTGTATGTGAGAGAGAAAGAGACTTCTGCACACACACACAGTGTATATAATATGCTGGGAATCACTGAGCTGGCAAATTATTCTTGCAATATATGCTTTCAGTACTTTGATAACTGAAGTTCTCTAGGATCCTAACACAACATAAAAGTGAAATAAACCCAGTGTAATGTTTTGGAAACCAGGGATTTTTTTTTTTTTTTCCCCACGAACCATCCCGGGGAATGCAGCAGCGCACAGCCAGACTCTTGAGTGTAAGCCGTGTAAGCCGAGTGCTTTGCTGATCTCGACAGAGTTCCAGCAAACCGGGGCCCCTCTGAGCGAGCCCCAACCACGAACCACGTCCACGGGGTTGAATCTAATCATCCAAATCTGAATGTTGCCCAACAAAATTTCTGCTATCTCAGCTGCTTGAAACTCATAGTGTCGCGCTTGAATGTCACACGCAGCAATATCTATGGCAAAGCGCCCCGGTGACACCGTGAAGGGGGGGGGAGAACGTGGTGTTGGAGGTCCTGCTACCTAGCCCCTTCTAGATGCAAAAGGGCATCCCCCTGCGTTACCTAGCTATGGCCAGCGCTCTCCGGGGTTCCTTGCGCAACCCTCACTCAGTCACGGTGGGGTTCAGGAACTTTCCTGTCCTCCGAAGAAAGTATTAACACTTTGAAAAGTATTTCTTCAAGTTGATTTCCTTAACCTTTTGAAAAAAATGATTCTGTATCTCCTTTGAATTGATCCAAAAGCTCAATGTTGTACTGGGGGGGGTGGGTGGGAGGGGTGCCACCGTGGCTTGTCATTTTTGTCACTGTTGTAGTTGTTGGGGTTCCTTCTTTTCCTTTCACCGGGGCAGTGTGGGGAGCGGGAGGGGAGGGGGCGGGGTGGGGGGGGTCGAGAAGAAATCTCACCTCTGTACAGGGCCTCGGGTCGTGGACCCCGGGCCGGGGTAGAAGCTGCTTCTGTGTTCACTGTGAGCTGGTGTTTACAGGTGACAACAGTGGGTGTGGGCTCAGTGGTGTCTGTGTTTCTGAACTATTTAATTTCATGTTCTGTTTATATGAAGAAATATTTATGCATACTTCACCAAGTGTCTATTTAATGTTGATAAATATTACCCTTCGGTCTTCAGCTGTGGTGTCCCTCGAAAGTGATTCTTTCAGGTCCCCCCGAGCAATCAGTGCAGTCAGTCAAGCTTTTCATAAGGCTGAGGAGAAGACAACAGCCATCCTGCTGGCAGCAACAAGTCCCTAGCTCCTGGGGAATAAAGTCAACTGTGACTTTGACGGAAACGTGGAAAAACCACTCTTTCATTGAACCCGATGGGAAATGAACGAAGCAACCCTCCACCTTGGTGTTTGAAATTACATGATAATGGTAAAAAATAAATAAATAAACTAGATCAGCGTAATTGAAAGAATATATATATATATACATATATATATATATATATATATATTTTGGGCCCACATTCAACCAAAGAACAAGAAAAACCAGAGACTATTTTCTAATACATAGAGCAAACTACGGAATGTTCTGTGATCCACTTGTGAAACGTCTGGTGAGCAACAGCATCTCTGTTTTCCTACTCTGGTTGGCCTGACACTAATAAATATATGAATGCTGATCCCAGTGTCCCTGGGCGTCCGTGATTCCCCTTCTTTTTGAAACTCCTGTCCTGCCTTCCTCCCAAAGGGCTGTTTCCTGTATTTCCAACAAAATTAGAGAGCATTACGTTTGAGAAATGGACAAACCCCGAGCTTTGGCACAACCACGAAGGTCAGTAGCAGCTTGGCTTGAACCTGATCCTCTCCTGACCCTGTCCTTTCCTTAACGCTGATGATGGCAGAAAAGAAACTACTCCAAGCCTCTTGCTCTCCCATTTTAAAATCTCCTATGGATAAAAGCTGTTTTTGCATGCTAAGTACTTCCTGTGTTTGTAGAAAGGTATGGCCAACTCTTAGGAAGTTTTCTGAGAAGGAAAATAAGAAAAACAGACTCCTTTTGAATATGGGGGAGTTAGGATATGGGTGATCAAAGAGGTGGAGTGTTTATAACTGGACAGAGCTACATGTGTCTTTCCCAAAGGGCTTGTCATGAGAAAAGGTATTAGGCATTTACATAAAATCAAAATATCTTCATCGTCAACCTATGTTATTCCACATGGAGGAGGTCTGCAGAGCTTTCGTGATAATTCACTTTAATGGAAAAAGCAAAATAAGCCTAAAATAAGCCGCACATGAAGAACACCCCCCCACACACACATGCACACATGTGCACACACGCACACACTTGCACGCACAGACATCCATCCTCCCATCTTCTCTTCTCCAGGCCTTGCCAGATGGGTAAGAGAAGTAACCTGTCTGGTCCCCTATTTCCCTTGGCTCTGTTCTCTTGGCCCATCCCCTACCTGTGGTCTCTCTGCTGGTTTCCCTACTATCCTGAATCATCCTTGCCTTAAATCCAGTCTTGACTCAAAATACACCCATTTCTGTTGACCCTTTCACGTATAATAGTCCTACACTCTGTCAGAGAAACAGGATGCATTAGGCATCATTAGGCATTAGAAGCTGCAGTGGATAAAGATCTAGAAGCATCTCTGCTTTCTCTGTCCACCGCCCTTGCAGAAGACAGGCAAGTTCATGGCTCTGGAAAGGGATGAGAGCCCCTGGGCATCACCCTGGAGGAGCCGGAGGGCGGAGTCGGCTGGAGAGGGTGGCCTCATGAGGGAAGCGGGGCACCAGGGCTCAGGCTGGTGGAGGAGGCTGATACCACACGGAACTAGGGATTGCTCTGGTGTCCCATCCTTGACTCCCAGAGGGGGACATAATACTGAGACATAGGACAGTCCATCACTAGCAGCTTCAGAGGACGAACAAAAGTAGCACAAAGAAGCACTAAAGGTCACCAGGGACTTACATGTCCTCTGTGCACCCCTGCATGTCGCTTACACTCCCTGGTTGTCTCCAGATGCTCGTGCTAGTCAACAACATGAAGGCATCTGAACTTGCCCTCTGACAGCAGACAGATCAAAGCCGAGGCCCGGGGCAGGTGTAACGGTGTGTCTGACGGATAGGCAAACACGTCACAGACCCAGCAGACTTACTGCCTTACATTTCAACACTGGAAGTCTGGGGTACCCACAACTTGTTGGTGAGCCCGGGGATGGACTGCTCACAACACCCCTGCAGCCCGGGACCCACCTGAGGCCTGATGGCCTTGCAGAAAGAGCCACTGAGGAGCGGGTGCTCTTAGTGCTGCCCTCGTAGCTCTCCCAAAGGGACCAAAACCGCAGAGCACGGCACCCAGGACACGAACCCTTTCCTCAAGCCGCCTCCTCTAAAAGAACACGTTCCCTCCACTGCAGTGTGCAGAGCTGAGCTCAGCTCAGCGGGGAGCCGTCTGGCCTGTACTTAAGGTCTGAGGATGGTTTCTCGGCTTCCCTCTGTGGGTGCAAGCCATGGGCTCTCTCTCCCTGTGCTCTCACAACTCTATCTGGTATATGCTCAGCCTCCACCAGGATTACTGTTCCAGACCCAGAGGCTGGCTCTCGGGACAGTAACCCAGACCTCTTCAGAGCCAGGTATTTCCATCTTCTTTTTCCAGCTTTAGTGAGGAAGGAGGCTGCTGAGAGACACCCCCCCAAAAAAAAAGAGTTAATAAAGCGACTCTACCCCATAAAGTTTGCACCTGTCAAGTGCTCTCCTGGGCGGCTCCGACACGGGCAGGTGTTCCTGCCGCTCCTGAGTGGACACAGCTACGCACAGCCTCACGTGCACATGGGCGGACAGGGCACTCAGACATGTAGACAAGGACCCCAAATGCTTGGTGAGAGCCAGTGTTTCAGAAGAACGTTAGGCCTGTGGTGGTCATAGCAGAACCCTCCGGCTCTGGCCTGGCCTGGGGTCACCCCCACTCTGAGTTGCCTGAGACAGCCTCGTGAAAGGCAAATGGAAAAGCAAACTGTAGGCTCCGTGATAGGAGAGGTACTGATAACACTGTCCGTACCCAATTCAGACTCCGTAACTCTATCTTAACCTTAAAAAAAAAAAAAAAAAATTATCTCTAGAATATAAAAGTCTCTTATTGTTCCTTCTCAAAGTCCAAAATACTTCTTAACAATTCTGCAATTTGCACATCAAGCCCCAAACTATTTTTATCCTCAGTTCTGCGAGTTCCTTGACAATACGAAGTAGGTCTCATGCCTCTGTCTGCCTCCCCATGGCTGGCAGGGAGTGGACACTCAGTAAATGTTGAATGTTTAATGTAAACCCCTTACAGACCACAGAACGAGTACTTATCAGAACTGTGTACAGCCCGGCCCCACGCTGCTGCGGTAGTCAGGGGTCACCAAGCTGGGAAAGTCCTTACGGGAAAAATGTGATGATTCTTAGCTCATGAAATGTTCCTGAGCAACAAGGAAAAATATTGTAAACAGACTTGAAGTCGTTGATATAATGAAGAATACAGAAAGGGGGGAAAAACCAACTCTCTCTTTTATCCCTAGAACTCGGGAACTTTTTACCAGACTGGTGAACTTCTGCGGTCCTTCCTGGGTGTCCGTGTGGAAGTAC